CGAAATTTATTTTAATTTATCATAAACTATGTAACAATAAAACATTTAATATTAAAATTATGTAGAGATTTGACCGTGATGACTTATTGATCTCGCGTATTTTATTTTGGGTCATTTTGGCTGTGACAGCCGGATGACTTGAAATTCCCAAAACTTAATGAATTCCCAAAAGCAAAACCCTTTCAAACTATTTTTAAAAATCAACCAACACACATAAATATTTTCTATAGAGCGACGTAACTTTGAATCCTTCTCGTCAAGCCCTAAAATAAAATTTTAATAATTTATTTTTATTTCTGTCTAAATAATCATATATCTCTTCAAGAATAAAGCAAATATTTTTAACAACTATTAATAATTTGCATAATTAATTAAAGGTAATCATTTTTTTAAATGGATGTGTCAGGAGTGTAATGAAATTAAGTTTTTACCATTCTTCGTGCATAATTAGACTCCTGAACTTAGATCTAAAATTTTAAAAAACTAGTTTGCAAAATAAAAGATTTTTCAATTTTTTCCAAATTAAATAAAATTGATGATGACTCCATATTTTTATTTTACGAAATAAATTCAGATCGTTATACTCTGGAACAAGAAAATAAATTGGTTTTAATTTTTAATCGAATCTGTTCCTTAGATTAAAAATTGAAAAAAAAAAACTATTTTTAGGAACAATGTAATGCATAACCTAAGTAACCATGTAGTCCTTCCAAGTGGCTAACTTTTTGAACCACATCTCCCTCAGCTTTCTTGGACTGTATTAACTATTTCCTCATTGAAAAGGATGCGACCAAAACTCTCGTGTGAGGTTCTACATCTAGTAAAGTTTATTTTCCCGTTGGGACTCTAGCACAGGAGTAATAACACCTGTGAGGAAAATTTTGGATTGTTTTATACTAATGTAAGTTATATTCTTAATCTTAGCCATTGGTTTTATTTATAATGCAACGAATTTAATTTATTAAAAATGTTAAATAATTAGATGCAAGTGGATCAACAAATAAGATTGTTGGATAAAGGGCCCCAAAACTCAAGAAAGAATGAGTTAAATATTAAAATTCTTTTCATAAATGCCTCATTTTCTTTGAAAAATCAATTTCTTGAGATATTTTGATTTAAGCTAAGCAAATGTGATAGATAACAACTTAGATAACAAATCATGATCAACAAATTGGAAGTTAAATATGTTCAATAGTACTAGGAATGCTTACGTAAAAGAGATAAGGATATAAATAATGCAAACTCAATTATCCTGGTTCGATCAAAACTATCGTGACCTATGTCTAGATTGCAATCACATATGATTCTCCACTATTGATCAAACTTTAAGGGTGCTTAAACAACTAATGCAACCACCAAGATTATAGTTCTTGGACACCTTACAATTTCTCCCAAAGGCAATGACCTATTTTTTCAATCCTAAGGGTCTCATTACCCTCAATCAACAATCACACAAGGAAGAAGAGTATTTGGACAAGCTAAGCGCTCTCAAAGTACATATAATATAAATTGAAGACTAGTTAGTGTATAGCTTGAAGTATGAAAATGAGCTTGAAGTATGAAAATGAGCTCAAGTATGTGATGATCAAGGACAAATATAAATGTTGAGCAAGAATGTGTTAGGAGTAGTAATATTGGCTCAATAAATGTTGTAGTGAAATTCTAGACCTAATAGAGCCGTTACAAATGAATATTTATAGGTTTCATATAAATTATAATTGTTTATAGCCATTGCAAACCTTTTTGGAAATATCTATCTAAATAAATGTCGAGGCTTACTCGAGTGTATTGTTTATCATCATTTACTTAAGAAAATTTCCTATTTGACTTGAATAAATGATTTACTTGGGTAACTGTCCTGATTTACTTGAGTAAATTATATCGTATGTAGGGATGATAATTCGACTTCAAAGATGAAATTTTCATTTAATGCATGCAAAAACAAAAGTAAAATATGGAGAAATGAAAAGAAAATATTGAACCAGAGATAAGATAAATATTGAATCAGATAATCTTAGATCCATTTTGTACATTCTGTGTAATAGCAAAATAATATACTTTAAAACAAGAAAATTCTATTGAATCAGATCATCATAACCATATTTGTGCATTCTAGGAATGATTCCATTGTACTTACAACCGAAAATGAGAACCATTTATGTAAAAAAAGAAAGAAAAAGAAGAAGAGAACCATCCTAAAAAAAGTACCTGGGGATACAGTCGTAAGAAACAATTTATAAGACTAAAAAAAAGGCGTAGAAGTTATGAGTCACTGACAAGTAGGGGTGAAATTGAGTCGGGTCAGCCTACAGGAGCTTACGACTCGGCCTATGTCAGGTCAGATCTGATTTAGTATTTTTCGTAATATAGGCCAAGTTTAGGCCTTGAAAAAGCTTGTTGAATAAATAGACCGTAGGCCAACTTTCACAAGGCCTAGCCTATAAGCTTCCAGGTTGACCTATATTGTAGTATTTATTTTAAATAAAATAAAATAGAATAAATATGTCTTTAAGAAAAAATAAAAAATATAAATTTAATCAATTATAATTATTTATAATTTAATTATACTCGATTATATTTTAATATAAATCTGACTTTATTTCTTATGTAGAAGGAACCAACATCTCAGCATGTTAGATTGTGTATATGAATAAATTAAAAGGTTTTTGGGAGATGTTATACTTACTACAAGCATCATGATGTGTTTGTTGGATTCATGTAGTTATTTTAATTTATATAGTATGGATTTGTTTGTTGGATCTCATAAAATATATGTTATTTAGTTTGAGCATTTTGCTTTTGAAAGTGACTTAAATGCAAATTGTGATGAGTTTTGTTGTGATTCATGATTCTGTTTGAACTTTGAAATTGTGATTTTTGGTTTAGCAATAGAATTTGAGTATTTTGTGAAGTTGATTCATGGTTCTGTTTGGAAGTTAAAAATTAACAGGCTAACAGGTTAGGACAGACCATTTATTTTTTTATAAACGGGGCAAGTCAGGCTAACCGTTAGACTCGAACTAGACTTGGGTCAGGCCAAATTAAATTTTTTTGACATAGACTTCGACTTTCGAGGCAAAGTTTAGCTTAACCTAGCTCACTTTTACCCCTACTGACAATCAAACGAGTAAAAAGAAAAAAAAGAAAAGAAAAGAAAAACACTAATTTTGGTATACGACATATAAGTCGCATGATGGTTTAAAAATCTAAAGAAAATCCACAAATATCTGTGTAAAAGAAGCAACTTTTAGGCGATTTTATGTCAAAATCTAGCTGCAGTTGAACCTCAACATGTGAATATATTGTTTCAGGAGAATTATGTTGTAGTGCATCATTTTTTGGGCACCTTAGCTAGTTAGCAATAATATTTACGGTTGGAGAGGTGAACAAATCTTGATTCACAATCGAACACAGTAATGCTAAAAGAACAAAGTAAATATTAAGATTGATCTTTAAAATATAAAATATATTTCTTGTATTTGAAATTCTTTTTTACACAAATTAGTCTAAAAATAATAATTTTGTTGACAAATTAGTAATTTTAAAAATGAATTTATATAAATACAAACCGATTGGAATATTTCCAAAAAAAGAAATCCAAATAACATTCATTTAAAAACTAAATTACATATATATTTTTTTTAAATAACTATCTTCATTATAAAATTTGGGTTCACATAAAAATGGTTCTTGTTTAAGTGCTGTGCGTTACAAAAAGTTAATTTGGATGTTGAAGATCCTCTCGTGATCCCTTACGCCTGATTACATTGATTGTAAAACTGCACTTTGCCTAAAAAGCTCCAATAATGCTCATTAAAATATGGGTTTTATAAGTGTTATGTGGTAGGAAAAGTGAGTAATGTTATAGAGATTCGTTTTGCGTGCCGTAATTTTATTTTTATTTTTTTGCTTAAAAAAATATGGGCTCCACAAAATGTTGTGTGTGTAAGAAACTTTTTTGTGTCAGGTGAAATGACAAATGCAAAACCCTTAAAATATTTTAGAAAAGCTAATACCTATAGTCATTTGTGGCTTTAAATACATTGTATTAGTTGGCTACATGTGGCCATTGCCCATTACTAGCCTAAGTTTTATGGTCAATTGTAAATGGCATATTACTAACGTTGAATAGCTTTGCTTCTAAAGTCATAGCTATTTGGCTGTTTTGTCAAGTTGGCTCGCATTTTCTTCATCTTTTAACAAACTTGCGTTTTTACGTGTTTGTATGTGTGCGTTGAATACAAGATTTCATAATTCACCTTCTATTTAATTGATGCTTAGGTGAAAGATTCTTTCTTTCTAATTCTGTTTGACCTGATGTAACTGTGGACTTATTTAGAAAAAATAAAAATAAAAAGCACTACACTCAAATATAATAAAATTTCAAAATAAAATTAATTCTTGTATTGAACCTTTAAAACCATAATTTATTTTAAAACCAAATCAAATCACACTGACTACTTTTCTACTGCCACTATATAACCCAGCTTCAAGAGTGTAAAGAACCACTCCAATCCAAAATCTTAAGGTGTTGGGTAAAATTTTTTTTAATAGTTTATATTATTCTTTAACACATCCCTCAAGCATGGATTATTGCATAGGCCCAATTTTTACTTATTTAATTCCACGACTGGGGGCGGCGATGATTGAAGTCGTGACCTTGTAGTCACTGCTATGATACTATGTAAAGAACCACTCCAACCCAAAATCTTAAGATGAACGTTTTTTTAATGATTTATATTATTCTCTGATAAAGAGTAACCGGAGTTTCTATTCTTTCTGCTAGAAGGTTCAAACTTTATTTAAGAGTTTGGTTCAAATTATAGCCTTTATCACTGAAAATTAACTATGCTGCATTGTTTCTTATTGTGACAGTGCATTAGTCATGGCTATTTCTGATGAAAGTGAGGTACTAAGAACGATGAAGGTATGTTGTTAATTTTTCTTTTCATCATTGACTTTGGTTCTGCCTACGATAACTCCAAACAATTTACTACTACATGCAGGGCAAATTTGAAGCAATGTTAATATGTTTCATTCTTGGACTCGGGTCCCTTATTGCATTGAACAGCTTGTGGACAATGGGAGATTACTACTACAAACTGTTTCCAGTAAGATCCCATGATTTCAGCAGTTTCCAGTAGCAGTCTTCAATGATTACATGAAATTGGAAAATAAAAACAACACTCTTATAGTTCCAAGTTCCAAACTGCAATAGATATGTTACATTCATCAGCCACTGATTTCCCTTTCAGTTTTTTTATTTATTTTTGGGAAATATAAGAATCATGTTGCAGGAATGACACAGTTCATTCCTGCAACGTATCTTGAGGATACGGCGCCGTATCCTGATTTTGGTTTGACTTTTTTTTTTTAAGCGTGAGACTCACACTTGATTTATGTGTTCAGGAAAATGGTCTTGTCATGTGACATGACAAAAAACGAACCCTTTATTTTTTTGGTCTGTGCTGTTCACATGAAATTTCCTGTCACATAATTATGAGACACTGGTCTAACAGAAGTTTTTCCTACTCAGAAGAGATACCATCCTTTGCGTGTATTCACTGTCATTTATCAATCATTTGCACTTTCAATCATGATGATACTGACTCACTATGAGTCAAGGATCAATACAAGGATGCGGAACTTAAGTGGATACACACTTTTCTTCGTTGGCTCTTTGTTAGTTCTTGTTGTAAGTACAGCTTTTCCTATTTTGTTAAATATTTTTGTTTTATAAGGGGTAAAATCTATGATTACCCAAGCTCCACTTCACCCCTTACCACTTGAGCTTCGTGACATCTAATTTATTGCTTATAGTATAATAGCTTCAGAATATTTGGTGTGGCAGTTGGATGTAGCAACATCAGGGAGAGGGGGAATAGGACCTTACATTGGTTTATGTGCACTTTGTGCTTGTTTTGGAATTGCACATGCTTCTGTACAAGGTGGCATGGTTGGAGACCTCTCTTTTATGTGTCCTGAGTTCATTCAGGTTGGTCTTCCTCATAATTAATTTCTCTGTTGTTTCGAATTTTTTGTATTTTGAAAAATTCTTGCATAGAGAAAGTGAAACAATAATGGTTTGTTTCATGTGTCTGCTTGTCATGCATCTACTATCTTAAATTTCTCCTATTTTCCCTTTTCCTTTTCTTTTTAATCATTAATGCTTTGTTTTTTTTTTCTTTATCATGTGAGTTGTGACCTAATCATACTAATTTAATCTTCTGTAGTCCTTTGTTGCTGGAATATATGCCTCAGGAGCTCTAGCCTGTGTTTTGAGACTTCTCACCAAAGCCAGTTTTGAGAAATCTGATAATGGTCTTCGAAATGGGGCTTGTAAGTTAACCTTTATTCACTGGGAAATGATTTGTTTACCAATTTTTATAAATTACACTATCTTCTTCTGGGAGTACATAGTGAAATCTAGTGTTCTCCCGGGAGAAGATAGTGTAGTGTTTGTAAACAAAAAAGTTTATAAATATAACCTGTCCCTTATTCACTAATGCACATATATATTAGTTTTACTCGTATACTTGTTATCTGTTGTCATGCACATATCACATATATGTCAGTTTTACTCACATACTCTCATTTTCTTTTTTGACTAATGCACATACTTTTTTGGAATATGCTGTCCCATACTAGTATACCACTCACCACTAATTAATTTTTGAAGCTAAGATTCTTTGATGCAAGCTTCATTAGTTCCTCACTTTGCAGTGCTATCCTTTGCAATCTCTACATTCTTTGAGTTTCTATGCATTGTTCTGTATGCAATCTACTTCCCTAAGTTGTCCATTGTAAAATACTACCGTTCAAAGGCAGCTTCAGAAGGATCAAAAACTGTTTCAGTTGATCTTGCAGCTGCTGGCATTCCAAATGGGACAAACCAGCAAGTAATGTAACTTATGTTAAACTGATTATATGTTAAGCTCAAGAACATGATTTTAAATACACTGAAAGATTTTGGACTCTTTTGGGTAGGTTGGACTTGATGCTAATCAACAAGAACGGTTAAGCAATAAGCAGCTATTTCTTCAGAACATTGATTATGCAGTTGACATGTTTCTAACTGCTGTAATAACCCTCTCTATTATTCCTGGATTCTTGTATGAAGATACAGGATCCCACAAGCTAGGAACATGGTAAGCCTTATTATCAATTCTCAATCTTTTGATGCGTAGAAGTGCTTTTTTATTTTTATTTTGACAAGAAACATGTGGTGAATATGTTAAGGTACCAACTTCTTTTGATTACAATGTACAACGTTATGAATCTAACATCATCATATATTCCCCTCATCAAATGCCTGAAGTTGGAATCCAGAAAGGGTTTACTCATTGCAGCTCTTTCTCGTTTATTGCTAGTCCCTGCATTTTACTTCACAGCAAAATATGGTGAGCAGGGTTGGATGATCTTTCTTGTGTCTTTCTTGGGACTAACCAATGGCTATCTCTCTGTTTGTGTATACACAGTGGTACCTAAAGGTTACAAGGTCAGTTTAGTATTTTTGTTGTTGTTAAGTTTACGTGTTTGAATTCAGAAAACAATTTCCTTTTAAATATATAAGGTGTAAGTTTACGTACAAAAATTGCCGTCACCCTTATATTTTGCTAATCGAGATTTGATGAGTAGTGGTTTAATAATATTTTTTCAATATTAAGATTCATATTGCTCATAAAAGTTGTGGGTTTATGGTTTTGCAGGGTCCTGAACAGAATGCTTTGGGTAATTTGCTTGCACTCTGGCTTTCGAGTGGCATATGTGCTGGGGTTGCTCTTGATTGGCTTTGGCTCATTGGGAAATGAGAAAATTTCTAAAAGGAAACACTAAGTATAATAAATAATGAATTTTCATCAAGTTTAGTTTCACTTTGTTTAAGCAGGTGTACAATCTAGTACTCTATTTTATCTGAGCCATGTTGTAGATGGGAAGAAAAACATTTTATATAACATTAATATTTTTTGGGTTTCTTTTTTCTCATGTTTCATGAGGTAATATCTTTTATGTCAGAGACACAATAAATAATGGACCCACCACTGATTTTGATACCTTATAACATAAGAAAGTAATCTCCTATTGCATGAGAAAATAATTTCCCATATTTTCTATATCCAATACATACTAATTATGAAAAGTTTCCACCTCAAAATATATGAAATATGCTAGAAATTTTGTATGTAGAACCTATGTTGTAGCGACACTTCAAAAAACTTAATATGTCTTGTCCGACATTCCTCGACACCCCGAAGCTCACCAACAGTCTGACACGATCCAACATTTATAATATTTGAAATTTCATTACATATCATGAAAAAATTGATCGATGTTTTACTAAAGTGATTTAATAAAAATTAAAAATGGATACTGAATAAATTTCACAGAGTATATAATAGATTTTCAAATATAATAGTAAATATTTACATTTTATGTTTCTTTGCAAAATTGATGGGTATTATTGTTAGAATTTTTTATAATTGGGGGCTTCAATCAATTGTAATTTTTCTTGTTTTTATAAAAGCAGGCTAAGTCATGATTCATATAGGGTGCAAATGATCCTTTTATTTGGGCTTGGATATCTATAAATTGATTAATGTGGGTAACAATATAGGCCTAATCCATAGGCCCATGATGGGTGAGAGAACTCGCATCGTTAAATTGACATTTTAATAACTCTCAACACTCAAGCAAGCCAGTTAATATGGTTGAGTTGGATATGAGTAAAGGAGCTATCATTCTAAGACCTGAGCCAGATGGTGAATTGGGAGATCTTATCCTAGGGGATGAGCTTGGTCAACTTACCAAAATTGGTAAGACCATCAATTTTAAGATTAAAGTCGAGTTGATAAAATTTTAGAAAAATAACAAGGATGTTTTTGCTTGGAAATACTCTGAAATCCCAGGGATTGATCCCAAATTCTGTTGTCACAAGATGACAATTTATCACGATCAACTCTAGTTGCACAAAAGAAAAGGAAGCTGAGACTTGAAAGAAGACAAGTTTTGAAGGAACATGTGAAAGAACTGCTTAATGCCGGGTTTATAAGAGAAATCCAATCACTACATGGCTTGCTAATATAGTCATGGTGAAGAAATCCAGTGGGAAATAAAGGGTCTTTATGAATTACACTTATCTCAATAAGGTGTGCCCAAAAGACTCATATCCAATGCCCAACATAGACCAGCTGGTGGATAACTCAACTGGGTTCCAGTCGTTATCCTTCATGGATGCTTATTCCGGCTACAATCAAATACCTATGTGCTCGGAAGATCAAGAAAAAATGGCTTTTATTGCTGAAAAGGTCAATTACTGTTAAAATGTAATATCTTTTGGGCTCAAAAATTCAGGAGCCACATATCAGAGGATGATGAATAAAGTTTTTGAAGACCAATGATATGCGTCTAGCATATGATGCTTTCTAAGCTAAAAGAAGCAAGGACTTAATCATAAATGAGCGAAAATGGTTTATAAATGTTAGAAATATTGATTATTCCTTCTCAATCATTCTCTCACTCAATTTATACATTTTGATAGCAGGAAGCATCAAAAGGAAGCGAAGAGAGAGAAGTCAAAAGTGCAAAGTCCCGTGCGAATCGCGCGGTAATTGGCGCGATCCGTGCCATAAGCTCAAATCTTTTCTGTTTTGCCGCGCGATCCGCATGAATCTGGCGCGGTACGTGCAGGCGACTTTTATAATTATTAAATTGATGCGAATTGCACCTGAGGAGGCCTAATTTGAGGGTAATTTTGGAAGACCTTTTCAAAACCCTAATAAGGGAGATCTGAAAGGAAAAAGTACACTTTTTCGCGGACAAGAAGAAGAATAACAAAGGAGAGAAAGAGAATTCTTGAGAGTTCTTGGAGCTTTTGAAGAATCTCAGTATCAAGATTGAGGATCGTCATCCTATTCTTCATCATTAGGTTCTGAATTTTAGTTTCTTTTACATTGAATTTGTCAGACATGAATATGTCTGACTAGTTTCTTTTATTGTGGTAAGGATCACAACCCTTAATGTGAACCCCTTGTAGTTTGGTTAAATTTATGTTTAATTCTTTCAATTGAGTTTATTTTAACTTGTTCTTCATCTCATAATTCTTCTATAACCGATCAATCTATTAGGATTGCGAGAGTTAGGGTTTTTAATAGGGATATTAGGATTCTAATTCCTGACAAAAGGTAAGATAACTGTTCATGTATGCACTAGGGATAAGCTACAGGAACCGCAAATGTTAAAGATTCACTGATTCTAAGGCTTAACTTGAAAAGGGATTTCTAAGGAATTAGGATTCTAATAGAGTTAATAAGGTTAAAGTCATTAAGGAATTAGGGCTTAACCAATTAAATAAAAGATAGTGGATCGTTTGATCAATTGAATAATTAAATGTAAACGTTAATCCAAGTTATAAGGTGGGGATCATAAATGTGTTTGTTTCTCTTTACCACAATATTTTCTCAAATATTTTGTCAATCATTAATATTGTGTTCTTGAGTTTAAAAAGAATCTTGAAAACTTTCTTTACTTTCTTAAATTGTCCTTATTTTCATCAGTAACAATTGTTCTCTAAACCAATTTTATTAATCAGACAAGAAAAGAATAGTTATAATAAATTTGGTGCCTCAATCCTCGTGGAGACGATACTCTACTTATCACTTATTACTTGAGACGATCGGTACACTTGCCGAGTTCGCAACAAGTTTTTGGCGCCGTTGCCGGGGATTGAATACGCCAAAATTTATCAATAACTTTTGATCTTCTTGATTGGATTTTTTGTTACTAATCTGTTTGTTTTAGTTTATGCGTGGTACAGTTGATCCTGGAAATTTGATCTACGATCCAGAGATACAAAGAACTGCAAGGAGATTAAGGCAACTTACCAAGTAGAAGAAGCAAGCAGAAACTTATACTTCACAATCCGAGTTAGAACCAGAGATGGCAACTCCTAATCCACCATCGGAGGATGAATTGATGGAGTCAATCCTTGCTCCTCTTTTCACAAGGCCAAACTCTAGCATTGTCAGGCCACCAATTGATGCCAACAACTATGACATCCATCCATAACTAATCTCTTTGGTGGAGAAAAATCCATTTGGTGGGGAAGATTATAAAGACCCCCATGATTTCATGGACAGATTTCTAAGAATCTGTTATACAACCAAGCACCATGGGATATCAGATGATGCAATTAGACTCCGGTTATTCCCTTTTGCTGTAACTGGGAAAACTCTTAGATGGTTGGATAGACAAGCTCCCAACAGTATCAGAACATGGGATGAGTTGGCGGCCAAGTTCTTTGCTGAGCACTTTTCCATGGAGAAATACAAGTTGGTTAATGAAATTACCAACTTCATTCAACAACCGAGAGAGACTCTGTGTGCAGCCTGGACCAGATTCCAGGAACTGATCAGAAAGTGCCCCCAATATGATTTGCAGACGCGAAGAAAGTCAGAGTCTTCTATAATGGGATGACACCAGATTCCAGAATGGTTGTCAATGGTGCAAATGGTGAAACCATAGGAAAGAAGACAACATCTCAAACTTTAGACCTGATTGATTACATGGCAAGGAACGAGAATGCATCTATGGCAGTTCAACCGAAGAAGGGACTTCTTCAATTGGAGAATAACGATGCGGCGTTAGCTGAGCAAAAGACTATATCTCAACAGCTCGCCAGTATGAATGCTAAGTTGGACAAGATGCAAGTCTCTACAGCTCAAGTTAATTCAGTTAACTGTGAGTATTGCAAGTGAGAGCATGATACCAATGAGTGCCCAACACTTGTAGGATCTGAATCGTTCCAAGTTAATGGAGTTTGGTACGATCCAAGGCCACCGCAGAATTTCCAAAGGAACCAGAACAATGCTCAAGAAAGCAACTTTCAAAGGAGAATTCAAGGGGGAGGTTTGGATTACAAATCAAACAATTACTTACAACCTCCTCTTATTCCACATAAGGATCCGTCTGAATTGGAGAATGCGATGCTTATAATATCTCTCACTATAAAATTTAATTAATTGCATGTAATTAGGCAATTAATCTTGTATTAGTGGGTTAAATTAGGTAAAATATCTAATTAAGTGAATTGAGGTCACTTTTGAGGTAAACAGTGCATTCAGTGAAAATTATGGGGTAAACATGAGTGTAGGCAAAAGTATCCAAAATATAAAAGTAAAAGTGGAAATATTCCTAAAAAAATATTTCAGACCTTTGGGTAAAGTTTGAAAGAGAACAGAGTTTGTTATGGATCTGACAAAGGCCTACATTCTAGAAGGCCCAAATAGGGCTAATAGCTAAGAGGGAATTAAGGAAACATTCCTTAATCATGCTAATCCTACTACGGCAGCAATGGATCAACAATTGGACTCCCAATGCTCTTGAGAGGCCCAAAAGTCCACTCCTGCCAGGTAACCCATCTATAAATAAGGGGTTAAACCAATAAGGTAGACACACTCTAAACCCTCTCTCTTAGCTTGTCACTGTGCACACACCCCACGCCTTGACTATGTCGTTATATTATAGTGCACAGTGATCCACTTATCTTTAGGGTACCTCTCCTATAAGTACCTGAGGGAGGGCAAACAAATCCTACATTAACATACCAATCTCCGATTGGACATATCGATCTATCAGATCGTAACATTGGCGCAACGTACAAGAACCTGGATAGAAAACGGGTTAAATATCCGCACGAAAGACTGTGGCTAGGTCATTCTGTTCAGTTAAACGCTGAAAAGCTAAATCTGAATCAATAAAGCCACAGTGCAAGAAGTTGGGCTCAAAACGAAAGCCTCGGAAGGAGAAGCCGAGC